TCACTAGAAATATGATGATAGATAGATAGAAAATATTAATGGTAAAAAGATATAAAAATTTGCATAAATACTAAATTCTAAAATTCACTGATCTATCGAAAACAAAACCTATTGTAGAAGGATTTCGTTTATCATTTCTTATTTTATCTGAGTGTTTTACATAACTTGTCCAATATTTCAACTAGAAATAGCAATCTGATTGTTTCCCGCCGTCGTCAGTCGTCGTCACTGCTTGAGGTACTTATCGTAATTACCTGGCTTAATGTGAATAACTGGCATGACATCATGAAGGATTTTAGGCAAAGACTCGCCTATTACTCCCCTGAAAAAGGTAAAAAATATTGTCAGAATTTAAAAATATATATCTATCTATCTTTCATTAAGGCATAATTATCAAGTTAAGACTTCGAAGTTATTTAGACTACTATGCCACTCTTCAAAAACCTTTAATCTCAAGTATGGGGGATGTTCAAATTAGGGGGATGTAGAAGTAGGGGGATGTTCAAATTTTCATATATGAAAATCTTAAAAAGGAGAAAACTGAGCAGCTTAGAGTTCAAGCAAGCTAAAAGACAAGCACATTTTTTTTATTTTACTACTCCTCTAGAACTCTCTTTCTCTGTTTTGATTCTTCGAGATGGTTTAGCTATCTAATCTAAGCAGGATGTCTCCTACCTTTTTCTGTCCCATCTCGCACCCTCAAGGAACAGACCATGGATGTAAACACCATCAACGGGCGGTTTGTCAGCAGTATCTTTGCTTTTAACATCGAATTGAAACCCTAACAGGTCAATAGGAATGGTGTATTTTCTGGCGTAGTTCTGCTTAGCTCCAGTTAAGAAAGCCTGAACGATACGATRGTAGCATTCAAAAATTTATATAATAACAAACAAAATGCTGTGGATGTAGTATAATAATCTTTTACTGGTATTTCAGCAAAAGAAGATTTCTTTGACTCTAACCGTGCAGTATTGCACAGAGACACGGGAATAGTGACTTCACAGGGCTTTATTTCACAGGAAGAGTCTTTTAAACAATCTTCTTTTGCTTTTTTTCAATTCTAAACAATCTATTTATCATATGACCCCGTATTTCGGCCCTACGCGCGCTCTTAAAAAACCTTTGGGAAATGGTCACGTGATGGGGGGCTGTACGCCTTTTTGCGACAGGGCCGTACATATATGTTATTTACCGGCTTGGAGGTCCGTATAGGAAAACACTGCCCGAGGTCTTGACAGTACGGAACGAGCGCAGCGAGGTCCGTACATAAAAKACCGAGGRYAGTGTTTTCCTATACGGACCGACCTATAGCCGGTAAATAACATTTATTTATTTTTTATTTGTATTTTATGCAACTTTGCTCGCAGCCTAGCTGCAGGATACCGTCGGACCGGGCAGATCGTGAAAAACAGGACCGCGCGCTAGCCAACCAGAGCGCGCGAATGACTAGGATACCGGACGGAAAAAAATAATATTCAAGAAGTATGATGTGTTTCAGATATTTATTTACTTTAGACAACCCAGATTTTTAGTAGTAAAGAAGGAAACAAAAACCTTAAATAAGAAGTGAAAGAATTTGTTGAAAATACAACTTGACTTTTGTATTGAAGTACACTGGTYWATRCTTATAACGATTAGTTAGCAGCCGTGTGCTAGATCGAAAAATCAAAATTTGTTGCAATTTTTTTAAACTTTGTCAATACAGGTATTGATGAGTGATTTTTTTTTTACAGTAATCTCAAGAAACTGAACGTTATATAAGAAAATACCACACTAGTCGACATTTACCTGTGTGAAGAAAAATCCTGATATCCAGAACACCACAGGTTTTCCTTTGTCGTACCACTCCTGAGAATATATCAAATAATGGATCAGAAACCATCGAATACCCGATATAAGGGACGCTATTCATCGCCAGGAGACGACAGACAGACATTTAATAGAAATGCTGCTGACCTGGAGGAACTTAAGTCTTGCTAAGAAATCATTGATGTAACTTCCCAATGGCTTGAGGCTAGGATACGATCTCTTCATCCACATGTCTGGGACCTGCAAGTAATCATCGATACCATTCGATCCAAGAACCTTTGCGATAGATATCATATTGCACGTTTCTGAGTGTTTCAAAATCAAAAATGGCGAACTTTCGAATGTGTGAGAAAAYCGCGCAAAAGCTCTTGTATTGGCAAGTGGGGCGAAAGCGAACACAACAAAATTAGGATGTTGTTGTTATGAAATACGTATTTTCGCGCGTCCATGTAATATTCCACCCATGTATGGTTCCACAAGTATAGCTACCTTTCCTACAAGCAAACTACCAGCCAATGCCTCAAGCTCAGAGTTCATAACCACAAGACCTTTGATAGCTTTCAGAAGGTTTTGAAGACTGGAGCGAATAATGTTCATCAAACTGAATAAAAACAGCATAAATAATAAAAATCAATAAATAACTTTTTCAATCAGTCTTGTCAGACAACATGTGGGAGACTCAGTCTAACAAACTACCTCAACACTAACTGTTTTAGTAAACGACACTCCGCACAGCTGGTTTTTGACTGAGGAATCCAACCAGGACAACAGCGGTGATAGGTCAGAGTTTTATAAATTGCTCTGCAATCCTTGCTCCTCATGCCGTCAATGACGGCCCATTTTTCTGGATATTACGCTCAAATTAAAATAAATCAGATTATTGATAAGTTTTTACTAACTTGTTAAACCTCTCCATCTCTTGCACCAAAACAGTATTCATGCTCTCCTCGTAAGTGACCGGATATTTTGCTAATGCGTCTTCTAGGTTGAAGCTGATAGGGAGCTACAAAAACAACAGAGAGATACACATATTCTAAAAAACCTCTTATTATACTATACTTAGTTATATTCTTCTACGAGAAAGAATTTACGATAAGAAATATAATGCTGTAAAAATTATGGCCACACACAGTCGTCGTACAACTTAACTCGAATGATCGGAAAAATTCACCAGTTTTTCTGCTTGTTTTCTATTGGTGGGACATAACAAAGAAAACACTAAACTGGCTTCTTTTCAGACGGATAATCACAATTTTTTTTTTAAAGAAAAGGATAGAGTTCTCGCAAGTGTGGGCTTTATCTGTCTAGACATGAGACATCCAAGATAAATTCAATAGATGACGAGGATATTCCACGATGAATTTCCCTCAGAAATAAAAACATTTCGTACTCGTTCGTCAGCCTCTCCGTTTCCTTCAACATCAATACCTTAGATAGAATATCATTTGCAATTTCAAACAACGTCTCCTCAGTTTTCTTTCCAGCGCCACCACCACCGCCTTGAGCTTGTGTCATCAGCACAGAATCAAACAGCTGCAAAATACAATCACAGATACATTGACTGCATAAATACACACATAAATACAATACAATCACAAATACATTGACTGCATAAATACACACACAAATACAATACAATCACAAATACATTGAAAAGACTGCATAAATACACACAAGGTAAGAACAACTTACGTTTCGCGTCTCTTGTAGTTCCTTTGATATATCAACATTATCATGCATGCCAAACACTTCTGGAGACTGTGTCTGGGGCAATTCCTATAAAAGATTCCACAATAAATGATGTTTAGGGTGTTTTGATATCATGTTGCCGTGCAACCCAATTGCTGAATTGCTGACTATAATGTTACTAAATCGTCCTATCAGCCCGAATGTCTATCACATATCTGGATATCCACCATTTCGAACTGTTGAAATGACAATGCGGTTTTGACATAGGAAGCCTAAGATTATTCTCCCTAAGACATGTATGCGCGCTACTTTCTGACTATAACAGAGAAAGATTGCGAGGAACTCACTTTGATAAACTCGACATATTCTTCGTATGAGGATTTGGGTGGCGCAAAGTAATTACCACTGTGCGAAAACTTGTACTTAGGATCCTGGATAATCTCAGGGTTGTAAAAATCGGCAAGGATGCTCATCAAACAGCGTCTAAAATCAAATAAAGAAAGATGAATAATTGTATCAAGCAAAGACCAATAGAATTAACAGCCCTTAAATATGGACAGTGAACGTTGTCATTGCTGATGGCTACGAAAGGAATAGAATACATTTTAAAAATACAATACAATTTTTTTCATATAAAATTTGCTAGTGTATTATAAAATAGAAGTTTGTATATAAATAATAAAATAAAAAGATATTCTCCATTTTTCTGGATCCCTGTTTTGAAGCGAGAACTTCTTCAAAAAGTGSAACATTCTGCAGTTTTCTCTCTTTGTAATTTTGTTTTCTCGGCCTCTGACTTACGCATAGTTTTTAAAATTAAATACATAAATTAGTATCAACGAAATACATCCTCCACAATTGACAATACATCACATTACTAGCAAACATCCTAAAAAAATTAGCTTCTTCAGAAAAAAAAACTTTAAATTAAAGATATACCTGTCATTATCGTCTGTAACTCTTCCACCGTAGTTACATTCACCGGTCAAGTACGTCACAGCATCGAAAGGAATCTCCTCGTACTCGTTGATAAACATCTATTAAAAAAACATAGTTGAAAACATTCATTCTAACCACATTTTTATTTAAAGACGTCGTATTTTTCTGAAAATTGCGTCATGGTATTCATGTAAATCTCAGTATGTACTAATTGATTGAGTAGAAGGACCATAGTGAAAATATTTGGCTCAAAGTCTGACCAATCATAATCAATTAGCATTTTATCATGACGCAATTGAAAAAAAAATATGAGAGAATTGTTAATAAATTGTTTTTATAGTGACATAGTTTGATCTTACCTGTAGTTGTCTAACACTAATACGTAGATCAGACTCGTTAAAGCCATATGGTATATTCCATCCCAATGGACCAAACTTTCTTCTTTCTTGAACCAATGCATGGAAGAAACATAAACCAAACAACAGTTTCTCCCAGATCTGAATTAAGACAGCAAAATATTTTAATCAAATTATGACATAGCCGACGATTTCTTTTCAGAGAAAAAGCTATTAGAGTGATTACATAGTGATATAAATATTTTCCTCTTGAGATTTCATCTTGTAGATCTATAAAACAAATCACAATATTTACCGCTCCTTTATTTCCACATCCCACGAAGAATTCAGGATCAGAAATAGGGTCGTTCAAGTAAGACTGTAGTAAGTTCTGTCGAAGTCCAGTTGGAGGCTCGTTTGTCATCTTAACGCCATTTTGTAGAACGGTTACAGGAAACTAATAMAAATTATAATAATTAAAAGCTGCCAAAATCCAATCATCCTGAGATTTATCTGAAGCAAAACTAATAGCCTGCATCACATTCCGGGACTTTTTAAAACCAGGTTGAGTGGGTCTGAATATTAACGAGCAAAACCACCACAAACAACATTAACATGTTTATATTTGTCAGCCTCAAATGAGATATTTCAAACACTTTCTAATACAGAGGAGAGTGGTTTTATATCCAAGGAATAGTTATAGATTTTTCCGTTTCAAAAACTTATTTTTTTTTTGAAGATGAAAGCATTTTAGGGAGGCTTTGGTGGAATAGAAAAAAGAGAGATTTCTTAATCTCATGTTGAGTTACAATTTATCTGCAGAAAGCTACTGTAAATATAGCAGCWTCCATTGAAAAACAAGGCTGCAAATGTAGTACAGGGCGACAAATTACATATAATTYYCTCAACCACATTAAACATACAAAGTCCTTATATGACACAAAGCAGCTCAGTAACTGACTGACTGACCTTATTAGATGGATAACTTGTCAGCCAGAGTCTAAAGTCTGTATGCGTGTTTTCTGGACTAAGGTCTTCACAGATTTTCTCCAGTGACGTCATCCAGGACACTGCTAAGTGGCAGTTCTGTAGTACTACCCATGATCCATTCTGCATGGCTTCCGTGATCAGCTTAGCAGCAACAGGACCCTGGGACATTTTATCACAGTTATAAATATATATATATATATATCAAAAAAAGTTCCTATTAACAAAATAAATTAATCATTGCTCAGACAAAACAATTGCTTGTATGCTGGTTTTAACGTTTGCTGTATASGAGATGAGAAAATAATCATGAAGCGTCATGTTTAAGCCTTTGACGACGTCAAGTTATTCTTGATTTTCTTGTGTTTTATGTCTTAGATTTCAAGAGATATCTGCCCCATATAAGGAGTTGTCATTCAAACTATTGTAGATTCATATTCATATCATGTTGTATATTTGACTTTGTGAAAGAGAAACATATCACAGACTAAACCACGCATCATATAAACAACGACAAATTAAAAAAGAATCGTTATTTTCCTCCTTATCCAAAATAGCATGGAGAGCTTTATGTTATATTTCACCTGTCCTTGTCCAAGAGATATTGCRTTAAACTTTTCGCCACTGAATCCCTTATCATCTGCAAACTTCATCAAACCTGTAAAACAAATACGAAGTAGACATTATACTTCTACATGCTAACAACACTGGATATCAAAATGATTATTACCTGCCATAGGATCAGCACCAGGTGAAAGAATAAAAAGTAATGGTGCGCAAGCATTGGAATCTGCATAACTCTTTGCCAAGTCAAACGGAGGTGGCTGGACAAACTTTACTCCAAGCTTGTCCTCTACAAAGTTTGTTACCAAAGGAACCACCTAGCGACAATAATTGAAAACAATTGACGCATAGGAATACAAATCAGTAAATTTATCATTACAAATCAATCCACTATAATGAAATAGTGNCGCGATCAATCAATCAATCAACCAACAAGACAGCCAGCTAACCAATCATTTTAAATGGTGTCACATACTTACCTTGTCAGGTCTTAAGCATCTGATAACAATCATTTTTTGGAAGTCTGTTAGCTGCTCAGCCCACGGGGAAGGGAGAGGAGCTCTGTGAGGTTCTTTACTGTCGTAGATTTTACGCCACTCATAAGTATTGTTAGCAAAGCTTTTCCTGTACATGAATGAAGTTACAAAACAAAACAGTGTTGTAAGCACCCAAATRGAATCMAGCAAGAATGCTTAATCTTCGAAACACAACTTTGACCGAGAGATGCTGGTGCWTTTTGAAGAATATTGAATTTTTGCCTTTTTGGATATTAAAAATCGCATTACTCTATAGAACAACCTCTGTAGTAGAGAGACTGGTGACAAAGTGATATAGCTTCATAGAACACATCGATCAAGACAATATTAATTAAAAGAATGATTTCAGCACTGCCGCTTGTTTATTTTTCTATTGTTTGGTATAATTAGAAATCCACATATAATGTGTGCAACAGGAGGTATTTTAATGGACAAAGGTTACATACCTGAATTCCTTGAAGCCAGGAAGGTCGCACATTCTGCACACCTCGTCCCACGACCTGTCCGACARCCACGAGGAGTCTGGGTTCTCAAGCTATAAGAATACTACAGTTGTTAGCCATACAACACATAAAATCATGCCCGTTTTCTGAAGCTCGTGGGATACAATTTCCTCTATAACATTTATTTATTTCTGTTTTTGTTCTTGTTTGAGAACTATTTTTAAATTCAATATAGGTGAGACTCGATTTGATCTGTACCTTCTTAGCTACCAATAGGTAATTACTGATTGACGGGCTACTCAAAATCTGGACATAATCGTTCACTGTTATGATAGCATACCTTGTTTTCGAGTCCAACCCCGCCTGTCAAGAAGAACATGAATTCATCCATGTCTAGCTCTGATTTAGACTTGAGAATGTTGCAACAAAGTACAAACGAAAAGAGAAGTTTGTCTTTCTCGAACAGAGATCGACACACGTTACAGTACARGTTATAGGTAAAGTGATCGCTCAGATAGCGTAGTCTTCTCTCTAGGATCTTTGATTTGTTGCTGGAATATCGAGAAGAAAGTTTGCAATTAGACCACATCCACACGAACAACGATATAGAAAACGTTCCATAATACTCACCTATCGTGTATGGAATTAAGGAATAGATTAACAAACCATGTCAATGAGTACTGGTACATGGGGTCAATGTTAGGAAGGTCAGTAATCGAGAAGAACAATACAGAGGCATGAGCTGCAATAGGGTTATACCCTCGACGAGATTCATTAATCTTCACTTCAGTTTCGTCTGCAATCTGTTAACGAAACGTTGGCATAAAAGAATATTTATTTCAAACAATGTCCATTAGTGTTTTCACTTGAAGTCGATTTTCAATATATTATTAATATATTATTACACTAAGTCGGTCATCAAATCTTGTAATGACTGCCCCTTTGTTAATCTATTCAAATCTAATACTTTCATCCTCTTTACCTTTTGTTTCTTTGAGATTTCATCAGAAAGGACCTACGAAAAACAACCAGCTGGATTATTAACGTAAACCTTTCACAGTTTCAGAAGTTGAGACTAAGACTGTTGAACGAAATATCAAGACAATCACGAGGTTACCTTGGATGAGTCAAGAATTTTTATCGCTGTCTCGTCCTCAAGAATGTTCCCTTCTGAAGACGACAAAGTTTCAAGGATTTTGTCTTCGATTTCTTTAAGTTGTTTCTTGTTGGCAGCGCTCTGCACGATCAAAGCCTGTCGCTCTTCTTCTAAATCAGGTCTAAGAGAGAGTTTCATTATGAAGAAAGAACGCATGAATATCATGAACTGAATAGGAAGATCAAAGCAAAAAAATACTCTGAAACACGGAGCCATTAGTGCTTGATTAACTTAGTCGAATGACTAAAAATTGCATTTTTCGAGAGCCATAAATGTAGTCACTCTCCACAAGAAAAATTAAAATTCGCAAATGGCGTTTATGGGTGTGTTCATTTTAGAGTAAAGTGATAGTCCCATCAGCACTGTAAGTTACAAGCTGACSCCAAAGTTAAACMAGACAAGTTCCMTGTCGCGCTATTCCAAACTTTGCTCCRAAAACTGTCTTAGTCATTACTTTGCCTTGAACATCAACTCTACTGTTATATGAAAACCCTCGCCGGTCTCGGAMCATTTATAAATAAGTTCAACACAGTTTTGGTGCCATTACCGTACCTTTCTTTGGCGACTACAATCCCCAGTAACTGATCCTGCAAGCCTTCAGGTGTAATCATAAAGTTAAGTAATGTCACCTTGGTGGATAGTTCAGGCAGGTAATGAGGGTTGCGAAGCTTGGTGGTGATATAGAATCGGAAATCATTTGAATACTCAATGACAGTTTCTCCAAGACGAATGCAGGTGACGCCACCTAGAATATTAAAGTGCAGATTAGTATATGTCTCCATTATTGACAATCAAAAGGAACTAAGTAATGGGTTCAGTGTTCAGCTTTAAGTTACTAACCCGTGCATTGTTTCATTATTAACACAAAGAGTTAACGCAGTAATTAACCTCCAACCACTGTTATGAAATTGGAGGAAATGTCGACTAACCTTGTTTGAACGTCTGCTTTAGCAACAGAGGTTCCAAGGAAGGATCCAGCTCTTCACCAACATTCTCAAGTAAAACTGGATTGCCAAACTGTATGCTGTTTTCCAGTGTTCTGATGTAATCGCTATCTGTTAGCTTGATAACCTGTCAAACAAAATCCAACAAAATGCACTGTCAGTGGCCAACACTCCTATGTTACATAGGGTAGATGTTTTTGCAGAAATTCGAGCGCCCGACATATACACGAAACATGGTTATGTCCAAAAACACGTTGCTAACCGAACTCAAAAACTAAAACTTTGCAATTTAAGTGAAAGAAGAATGTTGTATAACCAAAGCATGCGATCTACTGGTGGTGTCTGGAGGTGCCTTTAGGATAGATGATGATTATGTGATGGAATGAGAAGGGTACACTGTCTATTTTGCAAATTTTTATCTTAAGCAGTGATTATTGAGCAACACCCACCGACAGCTGGGAATCCTTCTCTGAATTCTTTATCCACTTATTCGCCTGGCCTTGAGGATCGATCATCAATGGCCTGAATTTGAATTCRTACATTGTTCAGTGAATTCTTTAAGCAATGATTAGACGCTATTAATTATATCATATAGTAAATAGTTTGTAAATTGTATGCGATATGACATGAATACAATAATGATATCAACAGTGTTTTGCAGCAATTCTTACCATCTYCTTGCACTGTCCACGATCACACCATTATCAATGGAGAAGGCGTCYGTGGGAAGACCAGCGATATTCCAGGCTCGTATCTTGATAGCTTCACCAAGCGTCTTACTCAAAGAGAAATCGTCTGAACAAGGGATGTTCTTCGACTGCAATAACAACAGAAGATTTGATTTCAACTAGTACAGTATATTGCTTTAATATAGAAGTAAAGGAAAGTTATAGTGCTAGGAAGGAGGTTATTCCGGGAGAAAGATCCTTGGAAATAAATTCGGAAAAAATAGTTTACGACCTCGCTGGGATTCGAACCCACGACCTTCGGATTTGTACACCATTGTTATTCATTGTGAACACTTTTTTACATAATCCCGTTTAAGAAATAGCCTAAATATGAGATTGCAACAAATGGTTTTACGTGCCCGATGTTTGGTTTCTTATAAGTAACAAATAATCATTTATTTACGGGATCAAATCAAAATAAAATTCGGCTCTAGGAAACACTCTTCACTCAGTACATAAGAGACTCAAAACTTTACTGCAAAGTTGTCTTTTTTAATATTTTGTGACGTCAAGAGTGTGTTATTAAGAGGACATATAACGAAAAAGTGTGAATTGTTTTTTACCACATTTTTAAAAGTTTAAAAATAAGCRAAATCATTCTTTGCTTTCAACTGAATGCGCGCGTGAGACTTTGYGGAATCAGCTTATTGTTCATGTTTTCTTATTGACACACTCTAATCAGCCAATCAGCGCGCGAGAGTATGCATATGTGTGCGAAATATTTTGTTATTTRTAAAACCCTCGATATTCATTTACGAATGTGTCCATACCTTGCATATTTTTGTCCAATCCTTACAACATTCCTTTCGAAAGCCTGCAGTAAAAGCACCAAGATAAGCTATTACACCAGACGATATCAGTACATCGCCCGTCAAGTTATCGTAGATATCTTGTAGTGAACTGGCAGCTTGTGACCAACGGTCTTTCTCACCACCAAGACCACCAATTAGCTTCTCNCGCGATCAATCAATCAATCAACCAACAAGACAGCCAGCTAACCAATCATTTTAAATGGTGTCACATACTTACCTTGTCAGGTCTTAAGCATCTGATAACAATCATTTTTTGGAAGTCTGTTAGCTGCTCAGCCCACGGGGAAGGGAGAGGAGCTCTGTGAGGTTCTTTACTGTCGTAGATTTTACGCCACTCATAAGTATTGTTAGCAAAGCTTTTCCTGTACATGAATGAAGTTACAAAACAAAACAGTGTTGTAAGCACCCAAATRGAATCMAGCAAGAATGCTTAATCTTCGAAACACAACTTTGACCGAGAGATGCTGGTGCWTTTTGAAGAATATTGAATTTTTGCCTTTTTGGATATTAAAAATCGCATTACTCTATAGAACAACCTCTGTAGTAGAGAGACTGGTGACAAAGTGATATAGCTTCATAGAACACATCGATCAAGACAATATYAATTAAAAGAATGATTTCAGCACTGCCGCTTGTTTATTTTTCTATTGTTTGGTATAACTAGAAATCCACATATAATGTGTGCAACAGGAGGTATTTTAATGGACAAAGGTTACATACCTGAATTCCTTGAAGCCAGGAAGATCGCACATTCTGCACACCTCGTCCCACGACCTGTCCGACAGCCACGAGGAGTCTGGGTTCTCAAGCTATAAGAATACTACAGTTAGATTTTGTCCATACAACACATAAAATCATGCCCGTTTTCTGAAGCTCGTGGGATACAATTTCCTCTATAACATTTATTTATTTCTGTTTTTGTTCTTGTTTGAGAACTATTTTTAAATTCAATATAGGTGAGACTCGATTTGATCTGTACCTTCTTAGCTACCAATAGGTAATTACTGATTGACGGGCTACTCAAAATCTGGACATAATCGTTCACTGTTATGATAGCATACCTTGTTTTCGAGTCCAACCCCGCCTGTCAAGAAGAACATGAATTCATCCATGTCTAGCTCTGATTTAGACTTGAGAATGTTGCAACAAAGTACAAACGAAAAGAGAAGTTTGTCTTTCTCGAACAGAGATCGACACACGTTACAGTACAAGTTATAGGTAAAGTGATCGCTCAGATAGCGTAGTCTTCTCTCTAGGATCTTTGATTTGTTGCTGGAATATCGAGAAGAAAGTTTGCAATTAGACCACATCCACACGAATATACTATAATATACCATAATATACTCACCTATCGTGTATGGAATTAAGGAATAGATTAACAAACCATGTCAATGAGTACTGGTACATGGGGTCAATGTTAGGAAGGTCAGTAATCGAGAAGAACAATACAGAGGCATGAGCTGCAATAGGGTTATACCCTCGACGAGATTCATTAATCTTCACTTCAGTTTCGTCTGCAATCTGTTAACGAAACGTTGGCATAAAAGAATATTTATTTCAAACAATGTCCATTAGTGTTTTCACTTGAAGTCGATTTTCAATATATTATTAATATATTATTACACTAAGTCGGTCATCAAATCTTGTAATGACTGCCCCTTTGTTAATCTATTCAAATCTAATACTTTCATCCTCTTTACCTTTTGTTTCTTTGAGATTTCATCAGAAAGGACCTACGAAAAACAACCAGCTGGATTATTAACGTAAACCTTTCACAGTTTCAGAAGTTGAGACTAAGACTGTTGAACGAAATATCAAGACAATCACGAGGTTACCTTGGATGAGTCAAGAATTTTTATCGCTGTCTCGTCCTCAAGAATGTTCCCTTCTGAAGACGACAAAGTTTCAAGGATTTTGTCTTCGATTTCTTTAAGTTGTTTCTTGTTGGCAGCGCTCTGCACGATCAAAGCCTGTCGCTCTTCTTCTAAATCAGGTCTAAGAGAGAGTTTCATTATGAAGAAAGAACGCATGAATATCATGAACTGAATAGGAAGATCAAAGCAAAAAAATACTCTGAAACACGGAGCCATTAGTGCTTGATTAACTTAGTCGAATGACTAAAAATTGCATTTTTCGAGAGCCATAAATGTAGTCACTCTCCACAAGAAAAATTAAAATTCGCAAATGGCGTTTATGGGTGTGTTCATTTTAGAGTAAAGTGATAGTCCCATCAGCACTGTAAGTTACAAGCTGACSCCAAAGTTAAACMAGACAAGTTCCMTGTCGCGCTATTCCAAACTTTGCTCCRAAAACTGTCTTAGTCATTACTTTGCCTTGAACATCAACTCTACTGTTATATGAAAACCCTCGCCGGTCTCGGAMCATTTATAAATAAGTTCAACACAGTTTTGGTGCCATTACCGTACCTTTCTTTGGCGACTACAATCCCCAGTAACTGATCCTGCAAGCCTTCAGGTGTAATCATAAAGTTAAGTAATGTCACCTTGGTGGATAGTTCAGGCAGGTAATGAGGGTTGCGAAGCTTGGTGGTGATATAGAATCGGAAATCATTTGAATACTCAATGACAGTTTCTCCAAGACGAATGCAGGTGACGCCACCTAGAATATTAAAGTGCAGATTAGTATATGTCTCCATTATTGACAATCAAAAGGAACTAAGTAATGGGTTCAGTGTTCAGCTTTAAGTTACTAACCCGTGCATTGTTTCATTATTAACACAAAGAGTTAACGCAGTAATTAACCTCCAACCACTGTTATGAAATTGGAGGAAATGTCGACTAACCTTGTTTGAACGTCTGCTTTAGCAACAGAGGTTCCAAGGAAGGATCCAGCTCTTCACCAACATTCTCAAGTAAMACTGGATTGCCAAACTGTATGCTGTTTTCCAGTGTTCTGATGTAATCGCTATCTGTTAGCTTGATAACCTGTCAAACAAAATCCAACAAAATGCACTGTCAGTGGCCAACACTCCTATGTTACATAGGGTAGATGTTTTTGCAGAAATTCGAGCGCCCGACATATACACGAAACATGGTTATGTCCAAAAACACGTTGCTAACCGAACTCAAAAACTARAACTTTGCAATTTAAGTGAAAGAAGAATGTTGTATAACCAAAGCATGCGATCTACTGGTGGTGTCTGGAGGTGCCTTTAGGATAGATGATGATTATGTGATGGAATGAGAAGGGTACACTGTCTATTTTGCAAATTTTTATCTTAAGCAGTGATTATTGAGCAACACCCACCGACAGCTGGGAATCCTTCTCTGAATTCTTTATCCACTTATTCGCCTGGCCTTGAGGATCGATCATCAATGGCCTGAATTTGAATTCRTACATTGTTCAGTGAATTCTTTAAGCAATGATTAGACGCTATTAATTATATCATATAGTAAATAGTTTGTAAATTGTATGCGATATGACATGAATACAATAATGATATCAACAGTGTTTTGCAGCAATTCTTACCATCTYCTTGCACTGTCCACGATCACACCATTATCAATGGAGAAGGCGTCYGTGGGAAGACCAGCGATATTCCAGGCTCGTATCTTGATAGCTTCACCAAGCGTCTTACTCAAAGAGAAATCGTCTGAACAAGGGATGTTCTTCGACTGCAATAACAACAGAAGATTTGATTTCAACTAGTACAGTATATTGCTTTAATATAGAAGTAAAGGAAAGTTATAGTGCTAGGAAGGAGRTTATTCCGGGAGAAAGATCCTTGGAAATAAATTCGGAAAAAATAGTTTACGACCTCGCTGGGATTCGAACCCACGACCTTCGGATTTGTACACCATTGTTATTCATTGTGAACACTTTTTTACATAATCCCGTTTAAGAAATAGCCTAAATATGAGATTGCAACAAATGGTTTTACGTGCCCGATGTTTGGTTTCTTATAAGTAACAAATAATCATTTATTTACGGGATCAAATCAAAATAAAATTCGGCTCTAGGAAACACTCTTCACTCAGTACATAAGAGACTCAAAACTTTACTGCAAAGTTGTCTTTTTTAATATTTTGTGACGTCAAGAGTGTGTTATTAAGAGGACATATAACGAAAAAGTGTGAATTGTTTTTTACCACATTTTTAAAAGTTTAAAAATAAGCRAAATCATTCTTTGCTTTCAACTGAATGCGCGCGTGAGACTTTGYGGAATCAGCTTATTGTTCATGTTTTCTTATTGACACACTCTAATCAGCCAATCAGCGCGCGAGAGTATGCATATGTGTGCGAAATATTTTGTTATTTRTAAAACCCTCGATATTCATTTACGAATGTGTCCATACCTTGCATATTTTTGTCCAATCCTTACAACATTCCTTTCGAAAGCCTGCAGTAAAAGCACCAAGATAAGCTATTACACCAGACGATATCAGTACATCGCCCGTCAAGTTATCGTAGATATCTTGTAGTGAACTGGCAGCTTGTGACCAACGGTCTTTCTCACCACCAAGACCACCAATTAGCTTCTCRGCACGTATGAGCTTCTTAGAGCACAGATCAACCTAAAAAAATAATAACATACGCTACAATCAAAGAAAAGTCAAGAGCAAGAGTACAATTATTGGTAAACAAATTAAGTACGAGAGACAGTGCGGTTTATACACATTGCCAAATTGTTGTACAAACATTTTTTGGATTAAAAACACCAAAAATGATGATATTGATAATACATTGGTTAATAATKTCAAGATTGGCTTATTTGCCAAGTTCTACCAAAAACCGAAGCACCTTCAAATCGGTTTATAAATTACCTGAAATTCTAACTGCTCTTTCTTTTCGGTAGTTTCTTGGAATTGCGCTTTAAGATTCGCCAACTTTGCTTCAACTTCGGCRAGTTCCTGTCGCTTGGCATTTAACAATGTCATAGTCTGTGCTAACGATTCTTCTGCTTCAGCTAAACGCAGTTTCTTGGGAGCAACCACCTGTACAGATAATGTACAATGTTTCGATTCTTTCATGAGAATATTATCATAACTTAACTTAAAATATCGAAATGAATGTTGTTATTTGAAACTTATAATATACAGAGGATATYACATGGGGTATTGGAGATACGGACAGTTGGAAATATATCTCACGATAAGATGAAATCTGTATCTATATTCTGTTTATCGTAGTTATCTATGACTTTTCGAGAAATACTACTGTTATTTCTTAGAAATACAGTCAATCACATTATTGTTGTTCAGTTGTAGACACAAAAAATATAGTCATATTAACATCATTGGTAAACGTTTCTTAATAGTATGGCAGTTTTGACGTTAATACCACTATCATTAGTAATTGTACCTTAGCCACGCGATCGTARATCTCTAGAGCRATAACCCACTTGCAAAGACCTTCTGCAGCAGACGACGCAGTTTTGACCTTACTCGGATCAAAATCAGGGTTGGGAATGTACTCTTTTCGTATTTTAGTCATAATATGAACCTAGAAATAACACAAAGTCAATGGTTATCCATTCAATACTACACTACTAGTCCATGGCCCTGTACACCGCCTGCTTCCTGGACAGTGTCTAGAATGCATCTACCKWTTTGAGCACCGATACTWTTACCTTCATTTCGCYATTTAGCATTAACACRYATACGTAGGAAATAATTTACAAATATACGAAACTCTCTTCAAGACCAACATTTTTGTTTTACTTTGCCCCACAATTCATTGCTATCTTTTAAAAACACCAATAGCCGACTTGCGAACTTCGCCTCAGTTGTCAAACWCAAAAGAATCAAGACGAGGCGCCGTGCATAAAGCTCAGTTAATTGAGAAAAACCTGTTACTTTTATGTCTTTTTTAAGAATGACTGAGCTTTATGCACGCCGTCCTGATTCCATCGTGTGTCACTCTGAGGTAAAATTCGCAAGTCGGCTATTCTGTATTGAGTCATAGTTTTCAGAACGGTACAGAAGAATGCATGAACACAGGGGTGTGTCCGGCAATCGTTTTTTTCTGATTGAATAATTCTAAAGATTCTAAGAATACCATTCAGTACACTTTGCTTACTTACAGGTATATTATCCTTATCGTATTCCTTGAGACTCGTCAAGAACGTCATATCGCCCAGTAGTTTCTTGGATGGGCCCCAATAGTCGAGAATTTTCTTACCAGTACCCGCTGGGTCATTAACTTTATCTGGTTTGATATCCTTCATGACACATACAGCTGACATGACAAGTTTTACGCCGGCAGGAGGGTTAGTCATCGACTTCACGATAGTGATGTCAGCAGGCTGAGAAGGAATACATAGAGGATATTACATGGGCGCGCGGAGATTTTATMTTCGAGTGTTGAAAAGATCTCTCACGAGTGAGCGCTAGCGAACATCATTGAGTTGTGTATGTTGAAAGATTGCTCCAAGGACATGAGCAGCATTAACTGAATAACTCATCAATACCTATGCATACAAACAACGAAAKAATAGCGACTCCCATATGATCATTTGATTACCTTYAGTGTGTTCAGGGCAGCAAGGGCAGCTTCTAGAGCCGGAATAGCTTCTGCTAATTCCCCTTCACATTCATCTTTGAGAGCCTGAGCCTCTGCAGCTTTAATGTTGGCAGCGGCTTCATCTTTACGCACGATCTCACTAGTTGCTTCAACTTCTTTAGACTCTTTCTCAATAATCTATTCGTTTTAAATATTTTAATATTTTAAAAACCTTTGAAGTACTTTCCTCTGAAACATTTATATTTTGTAGGACAGTCGAGGAGTAGAGCGGATTTCGTATGACAAAAAACACGGTACTTTCGCGCTGTGACCGTACCGTGCCGTACCGGTGATGTATTGTTAAAATCTTATTTTTATTTGGAATCCTAGAAGGCGAGGTTCTGTGTCAGTTCCGTGATCCGCTCTATTTACTATGTTCTTTATACATGAGAAAAACTGATAGGAAAGCCAACAGACTTTCTTGATGGCTGGCATAGTGACTTCAGCCTAAAGCTTTWCTAGCCAAATTAAAATGACATAGTATTTTCATAAGMTTACCAGACTATTGAGAAGAGAGGTCGGCTTCAGGCCTCCTATGGCRTTTATTGGCCGGGCCGAAAGCCGTTSAAATCTCTTCAAAATTAGCTCATTTTCAACATCGATATTTTKGTTATTTTGGGGGTTTATATTCTAGTTTTTTAGAAAGAAACTTTAATGCTTTCTGAGTGTGGATTTGTGGTCCTTTTTGCCGTGCRATGCGWTTTCATTGTTAAATGATCGCGATCATTAGTAAATTGACATTAACAAAGCTAGTAATTGATTGGATAAGYTCAAAAACAAACAAACAAAACAAAAAAGAAAAACACCAATGGCATGGTCTTTACAATATCTGAATGACTCTCTCCCTCGATATTTTCCACAGATCCGCACAACAACAACATAAAAAGTTKAAAATTTGAAATCTCTCACGATACATACCACCATCATTTTGTCGTTTTCTGCAGCTGTTTCCACCAACTGCGGTTGAAGCTCCTCTAGTTCTTTTTGCATGTCAGCAACCTTAATAAAACACATTTGATATTTTGTTTTATAAATTTGTTTTGATTTTCAGTGCCAACAGTACAGAACAGTTCAGTTCCTCTTATAGATCGGGAAAGCTGTTTGAGTTTATAGGTTGGCGCACCAATCAATCCCAAGGTATTGTATTCTTTTGATGGTGTGCGTTGAGAGTTATAATGAGGAATGTCGATGTCCAATTTGGCAGTCAGAGGAATTTTCCGAGTATTATAGAAATATCAATATACAAACCTGAGATGCTGCAAAAGCAAGTTTTTCTAAGCCAACTTCGTAACGACGTTTATTTCTCAACACTTCGTCCTGTTTCTTTCCAAGGAGGGTCTTGAATGACGATATCAGCTCCAAATATGACGTAGGAGTGACATAATTATGTCTACCCAACACTTCTAAATATCTACATGAATTCAAGAACACGCGGTTTTGGGCTCAGTTTTGTTACTAAAATAAAGGCGAACTACAAAAATCGATCAATTACAAAAATTGAGTTTGTAATTATATGGTGAAAGAAAGAACTTCTGATCTCATAATAACGTACTTCTCTGACAAATGTCGAGCACTAGTGTGAAAGTGTTTGCATAATGGTACGATTTCCTTTCGTTCGTTTTCTGTGAGGTGAGTGTCTTGGAGGAATTTGTTGGCGACCATCTCTAAGGCATCTTCAGGCCATGGCTGAAAAGAAAACAAATTCAAATCAGATCTTGTGTGTCCATAAAAAAGGGGGTCGTCGAAAGGATACTGGCAGTAAATTCACTGCCCGTCTGGTCACTATTTGTTAATGTCACAGAGAGAAACATGAAGAAAGGAAATGCGGACAAAAGAAGTTAAAGTTTAGCTTCAATGTTTCTCGTTTTTCATGGACTGAACAAGAAGTAGTTGTTGTCTCGGAAGTATAGCAAAAAAAAAATGATAGAAAACAACGACCTTGAACACATTTACCGAAAAGCGTTTGCAAAGACAAATATATCTCGTTCAGTTTCCATTGGTCGTGTGCTCTTGAAATAAATCGAGCCAAAATAAGCTTGAGCTCATAGCGTAATTTCTACACAAAAAAATATCATTAAAATGTAAAATATATGAGTGCACGTGAATTCACTTTAGCTAAAATTTCAAAGCAAGAATGTTAATGATCTAGTGTAGTAATGGGTGTTTTGGAGTTAAACTTTGACTCTAAGTCAATAACTCTAACCTGGAACCAGTCTATAGTACAACAGTTGATAAGGGCAGGAAACTGACGTAATCTGTTACGAAATGCATCGCCAATAGGACTCATACACAGCATTATATGAAGATTCTCTTTACAGCAGTTCACAAAGAAGTTGAAAAGAGCCAAAGGTGAAAATTCCACATTTTTGTCTTCTGCTTGAGATTGTGCAACAGGTCGAACAGCCTAGAACAGATAAATATCGATGAGCACGAGAACAAGCATCATATAGTAATAGCATAAAGAGAACAAATATACTAGTAAAAATTATAGCCAAATAATTATGAATGTATTTTATTCGAAAGAACAAAAAAACAAGACAAAACAAATATACATAAAATGATAAGGATTATGAAATACGTAACAATAAAATGCAGAAAATACAAACAAGTGTGGAACAACTGAGTACTAAATTGAACCATGAAAATAAACATGGCATATTATTATTAAAAGATCATACCTCGTTTAGCTCAGCTTTCTCATCAACAGCAAACAAGTTAGGCACTTCTCCAGTATTTAGCAAGCTATCAATATCTTCTAAGAAAGATTCCTCTTTGATTTGAGTGTCAGTCAGTAGGAACACTGTGGGTTTCATCTGACAACCAGCACTCTTTAGAAGAGTCTAGAAATGAAGTGGTTAATAAATATATATATATACGAAAAGCATTATCATAAAGAGAGACAAACCTAATACTACATATTCTCTATGTAATTATGGTTTCTTTCGTTTCATTTACCTTGATATCTTCTCTCCATTCAGGCATCCCGTAGCTTTTGGAGATTTCAGGTTGAAATACTGTAAACCCAGCAATATCAGCAGCCAGCCTAGAAAGCGACTGTCTACCACTTCCCCCAACACCAACCAGCAATGCATTACCACCGGGCTGCTTTAACACTCGACTAATACGAACCAGATGCTCTAAAACGTATCTGCAATGATAATCATAATGATGATGATGATGATAATTTGTAAAGGCTAATAYAACAATATAATAAATATAAAACGGAATTCCGTGTTTTTCCTCTGATCAAAACACGCGGGATGTTGGGAGAACACGAGAGAAGCGTAGGCAACCGCGAAACAATATAGCAATGAATCGATTACAAAATTACGCTTTCGGATGGCGATACTTAACTTTAACTATCGAAAGTTTCATTAGTTTCTTTCTGACAGAACAAATCTGCTAAAAGCATACCACTGATTTTCAAGAAATGACAGTTYTAAGCTCAACAAGGAAATAATGGGTGGAATACGAATTGCAGGGCATGTAGGAGCTGTATGACAATCTAGAGACCGCAAATGGTTGGCACGTTGATCAAATGTTGGTGAACCAAAACCTCGGGGCCAGTTTAAACAATGCCTTAGCATGGGAAATGAGAGGGAAGAGAATTGGTTAAAATAGAAGGACCAGTGATAGAGTTAAGAGAAGCATTACATGAAGAGTAACAAGGAGGTACCAGCTAGATGGGATGGAAGGAAGGCTACTATAACTGACAAATAGGATATTAATGTAAGGTCTATAGCCAGCCCAGTATTGGCCTTTTGTCGCTGCCGGTTTATGCGTTAAAACCTCCTCAACCATGCATGTACAATAGGGGCTAATACTCCATTAACCTTTAGAGGTCTCGCTTATTATTATTTGCACCTTTATTATATATATATGAGAGCGTTCTTCAGTAACGCACAAACTGTTTTTACCTGAAGATAACTAGATTCATTCCTGTTTTGTGCGTCTGGTTGTATTCTTCAAGGTATGATTCTGCAATTTTGTACAAATCTTCTACTGAAGTAACCTCTTGATACAATCGATCCTCAGCCATCTTAAAAAACATTAAATAATAAACAAATTGGACAAATTGCATATAGCAGGGGTAAATCAGCGATCTCTCATCATTGAGACAAATATCATTCACCTATACTATAATATTTGAAATACATGAAATGACGTTCTATAGCAATAGAGTCCCGAAGTTTGACACCACGAAAATATTTTTWTTTCGAAGTTATCCAATTTATTGCATTATTCTTAAAGATATAAMATTCCAGTGTTCTAGTGACAATTATGGAGATATGTTTTTTTCGGAATAGCCTTTGTGAARTGGTGACTTSAGCACTMTATTGCCATAATGTATCTCACCACGTCAGGATTGAGGAAATCGCAGAACATCAGACTTCTCATGTCGTCCTCAGATGCCTAAGTATTGTAATTATAAAGTTCATAATTGGGACTTTTTTGCTTGACCCTCATAATCAAGTTAACTGTGTGAAKACACTTGTCTAGACTAATCTGAGTGCTTTACACATACATCTATTTCATTATACAACATAAACTGCTTAGCACCAAATAACATGATAACTGTTTATGACAAATGATGAAAGGATTAGGTCAACTCAATTTTAAACTTATTGCCCCTTATATATGGTAAATCGGAAAACAAGAAAAAAAATGTAACAAATTGCGCACGTCATAAAATAAATGTTCAAAACTCAAACTCGCGGCAAAGTTTAAAACATTTTATGATGTCAATAGTGTGTCAATAAGAGGACATACAGCGACAAACGTGTGCAATTTGTTTTTTTACCAAGTCTTAAAATTTGCGAAAAATGTAATTTGTACCAAACGAGGTAGGAGTTTGGGATAAATTAATAAGTATTTTGCAGGCAAATAGCATCCGGCACGTGTAGGTAGAGCGTCTAGTGCTGAGGGACTGTGATCCTGGTATAATCCTTAATCGTGTGCGCGAGTGAATCATCTAAGGTCAGCTACCCCGCGCAAACGCTCGTTAGTTCTTCACTTTCCCATCTACTTTGGTTACAGCCCTTTTATGTACACCGATTACAAATCCCGATTACTCATCCCTACCGTTTTACTATTGGATGATAAGTGCTTGAATAATGAGTCAAAATCCTCTTTGAAATGTTCTTTGGTAACTTTCTTYAATAAGCTGTTGAACCAAAACATAATATTGTTATGCATAATACCTTGTTGTTTCATGAATTCATTTAGCTGTGATGTTTATAACTTACGTGTGTAGCCAAGCTCTATCATTATCATCAACCAAACGGTCATAAAACACACGGTAGACCTCATGGACCCACAGCCTGAGAATGGTGGATTAACTTTCGTTAAACATTTTAAGACAGCAAAAAGTATGTCACGGTTTGAGGCAAGTACAGCTCGAGAAGCCCATACCCATTCATGCTACTAGGTACGCGCTCCTGTATRATTCCAGTAAASATRGTCAAATGCTTTCAATAGCACATGGGCTTAATTAACACTACAAGTATTTACCTGCTGATGGTTTTCTTGTCTGCCAGAGCATCTTTCTTGATCAATAACACACCTCTAACAACACGTGAAAAGTCTCGTAGGTTGAAAGTATAGTGTGACTTGGCTGGTGTTGGTAGGAGGTTGATCATGGCCTCTTTGTAAATCTCAAACAGATAGACTAATGTCAGTATAGAAAGCATGCATCAAAGTGCCAGGTCATAAATTGTACGAACTCAAAAAGTTTTCTTTGTCAGTTTGAAAATCAAATTTTTCAAAAAGTTATTATCTGTATGACATCATTTTGTGGTGGCGTTTTGAGAATATAATGAAAAAATCATCGTGACTGTATTAAATTATAGAACACAAAAAATACCTCCATAGTTGCAGAAACTACATTATTTCCAGCCGTGAAAGCATCTGTTGGGAATTCATGATTCTGTTTGATAAAAATCACAATAACATAATGTTACTTTACTACTTTATGTGAGAAGAAGATTCCAAATTTTCTATTTAATTGACTGATGGATTTGATAATTACAATACATTATGAATTCTATGTAATACAAAGTATGAAATTGAATGAAAGTGATATTTATAAAGAATGTAAAATTAATAATTCTTGAAAAGAGGATTTGTCTGGGACCGTGTTTGGAATAGGCTTCTTACCCGGAAGTAGAATGTGACAATACTAGAAAATATCCTCTGCATGGTCTCGTCATTGAAGGTTGCCACGGAAACAACATTAAAATGACGTAAAAACCGGTTTGAAACTGGATTTCGTCCCCCTCCAGGTGGACCCATGGCGCATATGAATTGAAGATCGATCAGAGAGATCTTGGACGTGTCCTTCCGGTCGTACCAGTTTCTGTGGTCCAAATAYTGCCGTAACAGCTCAATGGGAGGCTGGGCACCGTATTTCTCGAGGGCAGGCATGTTGACATCGTCCACAAATATAATAAACCTGTCAGACAAATAACACTGAGAATAAATAAAACATTCAATACACCTTTGCAAATGGATGATTGCATATCAAAGAAAATTTAACATGAGCAATCAAAACTCATGGCGTTCGTTCTGTGTTGAACAGCTGTTTGCGAACTTTATAAAAGCAAAGTGCGCCTTTCCTTACAAACTTACTTCTTTCCCACAGGTGGTCCAAACACGCCCTTACGCCGCTTATCTAACTTGGACATAATGATATCTTGGGTCTGATTGGCACTTGTTTGAGCAGAGAAGTTAACAAAGGCYGGTATAAACTGTTCCTTAGATAGACCATTCATTAGTTTATCCTTGACATACACCGATTTTCCAGTACCCGTAGGGCCTACAAACATGACAGGTTTGTTGTTGTGAATCATAAGGTCCATTAGGTATGAATACCGGGCTGTGTCCATTGTAGGGACTATAATGTCACTAATACGAGTGTTCTTCCCTCCAAGGGATGTGCTTTTGATTAGTTTGGTCCACTGCATCCATGTACCACGATTTTTGCGCTGGGTGATGAATAACATCATAATCATTTATTGATTTGCATAAAAGAACTAATGYATCCATGCTACATTCTATAGTATAATATATTCTATAGTGAGCCATTAGTCGACAGCAAAAAGAGTGTAGCCTAATACTATTTGAKATATATTTATACTTATTATTCAGATGTGCTGGCACTTCTTTTATAATAACGTTCAAAAGGCTGACGCTAGTCTACACAACCTCAGTTATCCAAAAAAAAATTTCTTCTTTCCTCTTTTTACTTCAAAAAAGCTATTTTATCTCAATTAACAAAWAAAACACAATATATTTCTCATATTTCTGAATTTATTGGTAGTTTCAAATATTTTCTTAACGTTCCAAGAGATTTAACATGGAAAGCTTGTATGCTGTGAGATTTTGTCTCAAGGTCTTGCCAAGGAAAACTTGTTAAATCTGAACGAAATATCTCGGCTGAAAAAGAAGGCGATTCACATCCCAACCCGCTTTCTATATCACTTACCTCAAACAAAAAATCATAGACTAGTCCCTCTGATGGAATGGGTGAGTCTATTTTGCCAACAATYGTAGGAAYAGGATGATCATCTATTTTGCCAGACATTAAGTCTTTTAGAAATCCATCAAATTTTGGTCGACTGTCTGTATCTACGCATGCGCCAACTGACCACACAATCGAAAACAGGAATGAAGACTGCAAAAAGATTAYATAAGCACTGAATAAACCATCTATATTAAACTCAATGAGTAGTTAATAAACGTTTTGTCTAAGACAATTGTCATGTGGAAATTTTATCGCTCTCCTGAATTGCTCGTGTAAACAGCCTGCAAACTAGAGTCACTGTAAATTCGAAAACTAGTTACACATGTAATAATGTTTTTGCAAAAGTTGCCCACGTAAATTAYGATCAAGTAACTTACCACGATCCATATTTTAAGATGTTTGATATCATCTTGTGTGGCACTATTCAACATTATCTCCACTAAGTTCATCAGTGATCGAGCTAAGTTGCTATCTGAACAGGAAACAATTTCCTACAAGAACAATAGACGTCAACTGTCCATTCTGTAAGAGTGGACATTCCAATGCCAAAACACAGCATAAAGACGCAATGTATCAAAACCATTAAATTGTATTCGGGCACTCAACATGTGCATTTCCGCATAGCGATATAACAATTCATGAAATCTAATACTAGTGGTGTACAAAGCGAATTCTAAYGGGTGTGTAGTGGCAAAAAAGTAAATTGAAGAAAAAGATTAAATGAAGTAATTTTTTTTATTACTACCATGTCCTGGCCGAAGGCCTGCGGTACGGTCTAAAATGCAGCGACTTTAATTTAATTTTTTTTTTCACGTCGCATGGTCGTATCTAGAATTTGTCATTCGAGGTCTCTACAAGCTTGCCACAAAGCTTGCTTGTTACAAAGATATCATAGTTATCTTGTTTACCGAAAAAGAATCGTCAAGGACATTACCTTGCAGTTTTTCCTGACAAAGCCCAGGCAAGCCGGCAAAGCCCAGTGGAATAAAGCATTGATTAGTTTAGTGTGCTCTCCCTTTAGTAGTTCAGGTAAAGAGGTGAGCCATGACTGTAAAACAGGATCCCAACCTAACGATGCTGGCTCCAAGTAGATCATACCACACCGGCTAACAGTGGCAGGCTATCACARATAAATAATTAATATAACCTTGATAAATAGTCCCAGTAAACTGTCGTGCATTCCGTGCGTTAACAATCCAACAGATTGACAAATGGAATCATACCACATTGAATAATGCAACTTGTAAATGTAAGTCACAAAATAAATGGAAAAAAAAATAAATCAGTTATAAAATATCTTACCGAAGCTTGAGATAAATCTCTGCATTCAAAGATCAGACTCATGACATTGGAAAGCTGAATGATTTCACCACTCATCAAACAAAGCTGAAACAAAGATGTTTTGTTAATCTGATATAGTTCTTTACCATTTATGATTGGATAACCACATATAAACTATTGTCAATTTTCTTTTACACTGGTCAAAGTGCTTATATTTCTTCTATATGGCACTGGGACACTGAAATTCGGTGAGAGTGTGCATCGGTACTCAATGCATTCAGTTGCAGTTATGGCATAATCTTGATAGTTAATCGAACCTTTGCATCGCAACAAGACAGTGGCTAAGTTTGCTGTAAAAATTGTCTTAGGTGTCAATAGAAGGTTTCTGTCATTGCAGACTCAACCATGGTCTGATCGTCAACCTTTCAAGATGTACAGGGAACTGTAACATAGAGTGTTTGGATAGGAAAGGAATCTAACTAATCACACTTGAAATCCTGTCTAGTTTTTCAATGTTGGCTTAGAACTTTGAACAACACCTTACCTTTTTATTATCGTCCAGTACAGTATTCATACTCTCAATCCATAGTGTATCAATCGGCCCATCAAATATCACCCATTTACGAATTTCTGTCTGGTCCGTAGCATATTCACGGAAGGTATTTGCCACGATACCATCAGTCCACTAGACCATATAARATGTTAGTGTACATGTATCAAAAATTGGGTGTGGTAGTAATAGAACMTGGTARCAGGAAATGATAACCCTAACACCATTTCTAGTTCCGATATAGCTGTATGAATTTGTGATACATAATAGACCTGTGAAGTAYCTACGTCATGTACCGTATACGCAATGCATTATAGAATATGTTTGAGGGTCAATATGCCCTTAAACAATCCAAATGAATATCCCAAGGGTTCTTATCATCTCCGTTTATTTCAGTACTGTAAATGTGAACTCGTCGAATGGCGGAATTCTTTGCTTTCTTTTGCTTTTTCGAGAAATTGAACAAACAATGCATCGAAAATCAAGTTTCAGCTCAAATTTCATAACTACTCAATACCCTAAACTATTGTTTTTTCAAACAGAAAGGCATGTAAAAAATGAGAATGAATTGAGATTCATCGCGCAGCAAATCAACTTTCAGTACAGAGCCGACTTTAACCGCTTATCGTTGGTATCCACTGGCATAATACGATATGGATACGCTGATCAATGAATCGTGGGCTCTGCCAGTGATATCCACCATGATGGCTGCTGCTAATCCATGTATGATGTGAAGGTGACATTAAAAAATTAAATTGTCATCCGAATAGAAGGCTACTCGATATAAAAACTGAAATGCTGGATTGAGATGCAAAATAGCCAATTTGCTTGACTCTGTGAAATATATTTCCTTTATTTTCTATGCCTGCCAAATAATTAATGAATCACAGAACACCAAATAATATCCTTATTACAATATTAGTTTCGGTCTTTGACAATTGTACAATATAGCAGTCATTGAATTTGGTTTTCGCATCATGGTAAGGTATTAACCCTTGGACTATGAATAACGTGGTGATGGTGTCAATGATGTCATGGTGACAGTGATCATTATGAGACTAAGCATACTTTACCTCGTGAGAGACTGGATCGAATTGTCCAAAGAGCTGACCCATTGTAATGGCTTTAGGATTGATAATGCGAAACCACACCTATGGACAATTCATCCAAATTACACTTAAATGATTGTTTGCAAAAGGTGTAATATAGTCAGTTTTTGTGTGCTCCATTCTGCATTGTAGGTGTTTTTCGTTGATGTTTCAATACATGCATCTGGAGTTCCGAAGAACAATGCGTCCGCCATCTTACTATAAGTGGGACTCGAATCAGTAAATTATACCTCGTAAAGAAAAGGTTCTAAGCTGATGTCAAGTTAATATAATACGATATAATGATAGATTAGTTGACTTAGCAACTACAAAATGTTTTCTACGGCACAACATAGAGAATCGGTTCTCACTTTTCAAGATGGCGGACACATTTTCTCCTGATGTATGTATGTTTACATGAAAGGCCTTTTGCATTATATTGCATTTTTAGACATAAAAAAATAATTAATGAATAATTATGTCCAAGTATTGTTCAGACTTACCTTATTAATATTTTCATCATCATATCCACGTTCATGTAAAGTTGACATGGCTTCGGCAAGTACTTGTAGTACACTGGTCTTACCAGAAAAGGGATCACCGACCATCATGAAGCTATAATATCAAATATTCATTTACTTTTTAATAAATAATTCCAATTATCAACGGTATCATGGGCAACACAACAAAAAGAGACARAACAAGGACTTTCAGTGCTAATCATAAAACAAGGAAATGACAATAGAATACAGCTACAATTTCACTAAAATACGGTGAATTAAAACATTAAAATTAACAAAGATTATTAGAATGAGACTTGCAGTGTAATTTTGGTACAATTATATTGTACAAAATTGACGTACCCGTGACGAACAACCATCATCTCATACGTCTGGATGATCTTCTCTCGAAAGAAGTCGACAAACTGCAAGTTCTTTTTACTGCATACCTTGAAGATACCAGTCAATCAAATCAATCAATGATTCAATCACTTTWAATCATCTTACTGAACATTACATCAAAATGTCAACAATTAAAAAATTATAAAGGTCGAAATATCAACTTTTGTAAAACAAGATAACTGGACATTGTTTGCATTTATTAGCAAAAAGCAAATACACTTGATATACACCTACTTGCGAAAACGTTGTCATAAAAAATAGGACATTTGTATTTTAGTAAAAAGAAATAAATTATAAAGACAAAAGAAGGTCACTGAGGCTGAACGCTTTCTTTTGTTTTGTCTTAATTTATTCCTTTTTACTAAATTCGAATGTTCTATTTTCGATGACAACGTTTCTGCAAGTAGGTGTATGACTATCTAACAATTTCTTCATTTACTGCAGTTGATAACTCACCTCTTGTACAGTTTCAAGAAACACTCCATAGTCGGCTTTTGGAAGAGTAATTCCAGGAAACAAATCAGAGATAATTCCCTCAAAAAGAGGGATATCATGAGACAGAAATTTAGGTAAGTTGACATCCATGATGGAGCGTAGAAGTAAAACATTCTCATCATCATTAGGGTATTTAAGTTTGAGATTTCCAGCTGCGGCCAAGACAGCCTTGACGGCTCGCATACCATAATCGTAGTGGAACTGGGATGAAAGCTATCAACAGAAATTCAAAGCATTAGTATTCTTAGCTTGTAGTTTTCAATTATGGCCGTTGCTGTTCACAAAATGGACTGTAACGCCTAAATGGCCGATGTTCTGATTAGCATATTTTTTTTCGCGAGATTAAAAATCTGAAATATTAAAGAATGTGCTTGACTTAGAAGCTGTGCAAAATCCTACTAAGTTCCGTTAAATATCTGTGGATGTATTAATTTTTCAAATGGAAAAACTACAGAAAAATGTATGTCTAGGGATAAGTCATACCCTTAATCGTACATTTTCTGCAAATAAAAAATAATTAAACAAAAATATTTTTGTAGTTTTCCAATGTAGCCTGCCGAGATTTTTAGAGCTTCTAAGTAAGTTTTTCTCACAATTATTTCATGTTTCCTCTTGTGTTGGTTATAAAGAAAAACTATTCCAATGGTGAGTCATTTTGGTAATGGGTCTATTAGAGAATGCATCACCTGTTCTGAGCACAATGTGTATGTCGTGACAATCTTGACTGACAGGTTTCGTGCATCTCGGAATCCATATGAGTACAGCATGATTTCGCCAATCAGTGCGTAATCAGGAACCATCATAGCAACAGTACGAAACAGTACCTGCAACCACAGGAAAATAAAGTGCATAAGTTAACTGTTACCCATTTTGATTGTGTTTTTAGCTAAAACAGCAGCAATTAATGTTGTTCATTCTCATGACTTGCACACATCCTTCAATTCGATCTAAAGCGGTTTTTTACTTGCGCTGTTTGTCATAATCAAAAAATTTCCAATTTTCAAGTCACCTTACCGGTTCTTACCTTTAAATTATCAGGCAGCTCCGAGCGACCGGCATATCCCGGGTTCATGGTAATAGCCACGTAACAGTTGGAATTAAGATTAAGCTCTGTTCCCTCAAAAATGAACCTGCTTTGATGCGCCGCAATCGCTCGCTGAATGCACAGAATCTGAAGAAAAATGACAACATCGCGATTACTTTATCCAATATTCACACGTTATTATGCTTGCAACAATAAATCTTAACTTCGTATATCTTTGATTTTTGCGATTTTCAAATCCCTTACTGTATTTACATTATGGTATTGATTGAATGATTGAAAAATAAGATAACTTTAAATTCTTGTTTAGGCTGATTATTACTTTACTCACAAGAGAACGCAAGCCTTACCTGTTGCGCTACAACAGATAACACCTCCAACTCAATGCGGTTGAACTCATCAAAGCATGCCCAAGCACCACACGATGCTAAACCCTTAAAAAACTGAAAAACAATACAAGACACAGATATTTAGAGACCATATATGAATGAATCATAATCTGGACTGTACAAATGTTTCTGGTAGCACCTTTATTGTAAAATAAAATAATCCTAGCTGTCTTGTGATGTAGGAGATACTATTATAGAGAAATATGCGTTGAATTTATAATTCATTTTGCTAAACTAACTTACTTTGCCCATCTGTAAGTAATCAAGGCCATCTGAACAATTAAATACCACACACTGTATTGCAAGAGCTTTGGCTAAATCCTGAAATATGACAGACAGGGTAGATATCACTGTAATGGCGGTGATAAAATTAATAAGGATATTAGAAATTTACCTTCGTAGTCTCTGTTTTTCCTGTGCCTGCAGGACCCTCAGGTGCACCACCCAGATTTAAGTGAAATGCACTCATTAAAGTACGATAACAGCGATCTGTCAGGGGGGTGATGACGAGTCTAAGAGAACCGAAAAAAAAAAATAAATGAAATTGAATCTATGAAACATAGAAAGAAAACAGAAATTATGATAATACAAAAATGATGCAATACTTAATAATAGAGCTCATATAAAAGAAAACGTTTCAAGGATTACTTTCAATCCACTTATTACTTAATGCTGACCAGTCAATTTTACGAATTATAATTTCAGGGACTCAAAATATATTCTTAATGCTGAAGCACAATTAAACGCTTTGTGAGCGTCCAGTAACTTTAAGGTGGCATAATGACTTTTGAAGACGCAGTGCGGCTTATGCTGGAATGATTTTGACACCTATCCAGCAAGGAATGGAAAGATGGGACAATCACTTGACTGTTTCTATCATCTCTGTAAGTAGCAACCCAGGATGTGTCTACCCGAATATAAGCCATATGTAAAGTCTTAGAATTAGACTATTCCCTGAAGGCGCTCCAAGGAAGCTTGAAATAAAAAGCGACTATTGCTCCAACGATAATGTTCATTTCGTCATTAATACAATTAGATTAGCTTCCACGGACACCACATTGTATATGGACCCATAAAGTACAATCGTACAGACTCACCTTCCCGAGTTCCCTAGGTACTCACAGCCATACTTAACAGAGGCATTTATGATTCGCACCATACATTGATCCTGCTCCCAATAGTAACGCAGTTGACACAACCACTGGAAGTCATTCTCCTGAGCAACACCTAACAACGAAATGTTAGGAAAGTAGTTTTAAGGACAGAATTTTCCAATTCTTTTTCTTTCGTTTCTTTAAAATACAGGTATATTATCTTTAGGCCCCCAATAACTGGCTTTGGGTGGATACTTCTTTGATACAGTAATAGAACGTTAATAACACACGTTTTGTCCAGGAATTGGATAACAATAAATGATGCTTAATGTATTCAAAATTATGAAAACCTAAAATCCCTGCCCAGGTTGTACGAATAGTAAATAGCACTATCCACCAGTTAAATCCCTATCTGGATAAATATATCCACCCTCCGTACACCCCCCCGCCCCCTGGATGAAGAGCCCTTAGTCCCTATATTATACAAAATGTGCATCTGTTATAGAAAGCTGCTTTTCCTATTGTTCTTTGACGAAAATAAGCAGTGTTGAGAGTTTTCAGATAAAAACTTATACAGCCGTATGCTATGCAGTATATAAGATTCCAAATGATACATATTAATTAGTTCATTTAAAATTAGTCAATAAGGAGTTATTAAGGAATTATTATCTGATAGAAGATCCCTTTTGAACGTGGACCATACGAAAAACTGATCTACATGAGTATACCTTTACTGGCTATATCATGCACTACATCTCTAGCATGGACATCAATAGTCACCAGTGCCCCAAGCGTAACACGATTCTGTTTGGAGAGTTTTCCTCGTACGAGAACCACAATATCTTCGAGCTACAAAAACGATATCATGATAAAAAGTAAATAAATATAGTAAAAGTAAATAAAGTAAAGAAATAATTCATAAGAAGACCGGTGATTGTAAAATGAAGGGTGTTTCTATCAATGCATGTTTASTAGTGATGCACTAACCTGTGACGTYAATGTCTGGTGGTATTCTTTCAGACCATTAGGACCAGAGCGAATCGCTTCATGGACTTCCTGTGTCCAGTAGATCTGACTTACACAGATCACAATCTGCAAACAAGAAAAAAACATGATGTTTAATAAAAATCGTTCACATTATAAATGGTTTAAACTGTAAAAATCCAATTTATAGGTAATAAGCAATATGCTATGGATCTTATGTACATTAATGGTATAAAAATACAGGGTATTTTAGAAGAAAACTTTTTAAAATATAGGATGAAATAGTAGATTCATTTTGAGTTAATGTGAGCCTTTCAAAGTAGATTAGGGTATTCATTCCTGTTATAAACACTTTTGAATTGTAAGCCAACTTTCAACAATTCTTAGTTGAAATATCAATCGATGTGAGAACTTTCCTTAGTAGACGTCATACAAGGCTCGACTCAGGCTCCTAGTTCGCGGTCATTTCGGATTATATCGAAAATTTCATAGCTTTAACGTTTCACAAAAAACGAGCTTTCAATGAAAGCACCAAACAATATTCTGTTTTTCCATGGTGGTTTTTTGAAAAAAATTGAGTTCATTTGCAGTACAACGAATCTGGTCTTACCTGTCCTGGCCAGTTTAGAACCCAGTCTTTTCTTTCAGTTGTTGCGTAAGCCTAGTTAGAAGTAAACTGATCAGTGATTGCTAGTTTACTTTAAAGGTAATGAATCAGAAGATACCTGTACAGATCGCTCAATGATATCTCTAATACTAAGCAGCATAACATCCTGTACTTGTAGCAGCCATTTCTCAACAGCACCACGAGCTTCTGATGTTGATATGGTGTCACTGAGAGGTACCTGACGTAAAAAAATCAATAGGGAGCATTAAGCAAGGGAAGCTAGGCAGCGATACTAATTAGTCATTAGTTGTATTTCAATGTAATGTATAATAACCAGGTCTTATTGACATGATTTGCGGCCATTCACTATGAACACCATAAATTGTGGTCATCTTCAAAAAGAATAAAAAATCTACATGTATCTGTACTTGATTTTAGTATGTATTGATGATCTTGATGCTTGGATTTTCATCCATATCTCGACGAAAACACTGTCCTCACATTTTTTACTTTCAGTGTCGGACACGGATGCAAACTATGCTCCTTCACAAAAGATAGTGGTGATTTTCTTACTATGATGAAATGGTAATTATGATAATAAGCAAGCAGTGTTTGCCGGTATTAATTGGCTAATGCCCAATATTGGCTAATGGCTAATGTTCAATACATAGCAATACTTTCATTCATGTTCTTGGACAATGAGTGTGTGTGTTCATGATAGCGACTACAGCTTTTTCTTCAGTATAAAAGATCATGAATTGTGTCTTTTTTAGCTATTTGAGTTTTTGTGATTTTACGGATTTTTAAGCCGTCATTATTTTGACACTACAGTGAATAATGATAATATTGTGACTAATAATGAGTCTAACCTTTTCGCCCTCACTGCTAAACATACTGAGAATATCAAGAGATGATGTGAATTCAAGTTTAGCAATTCCCTCAAAACACTTCTTCAAATGCGGTTGGACACGGTAAGGATCCTTGGTCTCGGACAATATTTCCAACATCTCATCGTTGGACAGGAAAAAGAACCTGGTGATTAGAAAAAGTGTGAGTTTGTAGCACCTTTCTGCAAGATAATTTCTGGAGACTGCCATTTTGCATGTAGCTATAGCAAATATGATCCCTGAGCCAAAACGTTTTTGATTCTATAAAGTTAAATGTAAATAATCGAATAGTCAAATATTTCTTTTTTTCAATGTTGTTGAGTTGAAGTCGTCAAGGAAGGTTTCATTAGATATACAAACTTTAAAACAATCAAAATGAACACTTCCTGGTAACATGGATATCAATCCCTACATTGTACGATAAATTTCATAACAACATTTGAAATGAAAGAATATTTCACCATTTAATTATAAATTCGTTATTTTTTTAAAGCCAGAATGAACTCACATAACCAACAATTATTGCCTCAGACATCATGAATACTATCAACCACTATTCAATGCACCTCAGACATCACGAATACTATCAACCACTATTCAATGCACCTCAGACATCATGAATA